GCAGCATTGGACCCCCTTGGGTCTCTCCTGCTGSTTCTGCTCCATCCCCACTTGCTGCTCATGCAACCGGCTGCCTCCAGCTCCAAGGCATCAGCACAGCGATTTTTCCCGTCTCCCTCAAAACCGAGCRCGCGGAGTCATCCCGGGCCGATACCTGAGGACAGTGACCGGGCCACCTGAGTCACGGTGCTGCTCTATAAATAACGCCCGTGACGCACGCTCACGTGTGCCAGCGCAAGGGGAAACTCTCTGACACACGCGTGTGCCCTGGGCCGCAGGCGCATCCCGCGACACATCCAACCCCTTCCATTCCAGCAGGTTGGAGGCCAAACTGTGCCGTTTGCAGGTGTTTTCCTCCAAAATCGCATGCGTCCCAGCTGCAAGAATTGTCCCGGTGCAGAGATGCAAGAGGGGGACGCAGCACCCGCAGGCGGCAGGACCACCCCGTGCTGCCCTCGCGCAGCAGGTTGCAATTGCAGCGGATGCTTTGGAAGGAGCAGGGAGCATCCCTCGGCATTCCGGCCGTGCCGTAGGGCTGCCCAGCCAGCAGCCTGGCCCTCGTGCCGCAGTTTGGGCTCGGCAGGTTGGGAAGCAGCGTCAGCCCTGCTCAGGTTCTGGGCATTTTGCTCCCAAGAGGTTTCAGCGGACAGAAAAACACGCTGCCCAATTGCTCCATCTGGTGAAATCACGCGTTTATCTACTCGGGCATCAACTCAGAGCACCCAAATCGCTCCCGCTGGCCATCAGGATACGCTACCTACGAKCAACTTAAGATTAGTTCAACCCAAACCCTGCAAAAATCACACACGGGCTTTCAAGCACATGCAGAGATGCTGCAAATCAAGGGGAACCCATGAACCTCACGCACACGTAGATGCAGGAGATTCTGAAGGAGCAAGGACAGGGATGCTGTCTCCTCCAAGCTGTCTCTAAAGAGCTTCCCATGCTCTTGTTCCCTCATAAACAAATTAATTACAAGGGAGAAAGCTGGGGAGATAGTCTTGACTTCACCTAACAGAAGCCTGACACGCAGYCTACCAGGGCTGTGCTGGCGGGCCACCAAAGGCGCAGATAACAGGAAATTTATACAAGAGAGATTGGGCAACAATTGTATATCTAGCATCCTATCTTCTCAGTTTACATAAGACTTAATTATTCCATTAGATCTTAATTAAGCCAATAATAACGCAAGGAACATGCAGGCGATACCTAAAAACTTGCATCACGGCGACACTGTCGGAGGGCTGAGCCCCTCGTCCCCAGCCCCAAATTAACCGGAGGTCCCAGGGCRCCCTTGCCAGGCGGCTGGGAAGGTCCTGGCTGCCCCAATCCCTCTGGGAAGAGGGACCCTGTGCTCCTGCCACCGCGGTGCCCGGTGGTGCTTGGCATGCGCCCCGGGACACGCGGGATGTGCCGGGCGATGCCTCTGGATGCGGCCAGGGTGATGCTTTCGGAGCAGCGGGCCGCCGGATGCAGCCGGAGGTGCCGTCGCACGTGCTGGGCGATGCCGTGGGGAATTCCAGGTGCCTCCGGGTGCTCCCGGCGGTGCCTTCGGACGTGCTGGGAAACCCCTTTGGATATCCCTTGGGTGAGCCCTTCCGAAGAACCCAGCGACTCCGTGCAGCGTGCTGGGCTGTAACAGCTCAGSATACGTCCGGCAATGCCTTGGGATGCACCGGACGACGCCTTCCGCCGTGCCAGGCAATGGGATGCACCCGGGGGTGCCTTGGGATGCACCAGGCGATGCCCTTGGACGCGCACGGCAAATCCCTCAGGATGCTCCGCGCGACGCCTTGCGACGCTCCGGCCACGTCCAAGACGCGGCGGCCGCTGCCTCGGGCTGCGCGGGACGATGTCCCGGGACGAGCCCCCCGATTCCCATCCCCGTTCCCGCCGCAGCTCGCAGCCCTCCCGCCCGCGGTCCCCCCCGCCGCCCCGCGGCGCCCCCGGTACCTCTGGGCAGCGACATGTCGGCGTGCGGGCGGCGACGCGACCAGCACCATGCCCGGCCCGGGCAGCACCCGCCGGAATCCGCCCGCGCGCGGCACGCAGCGGGGGAAGAGCCGCGGGGCGGGGCCGAGCCCCGCCTGGCCCCGCCCCCGCCCACAAAGCATCGCTCCTACTGGCCCTCCGCCGCGGGGGGGCGTGRCCACGGTGCGGCCCGCCTCCCCGCGGGGAGTTTTGTGGTTCTCGGGGGGCAGTGTGAGGCTGCAGTGAGGTGGGCGGGTGGGTAAGGGGGTTCGCCCCCTCCGTTTGCTCCCCAGGCCGGCCCCGTCGCCCCGAAATGGCGGCTGGGGGGGAGGCCGCGCGGCCTCGTGGCGGCTGCACCGTGAGGGGCCGCGCRGGCCTCCCTGGGCATCACATCCAGGCAGCATCGCCCCCCAAGTGCGGGCAAGGCCCAGGGCTGGCCTGCCCTATCCGCAGAGCACAGGGAAGGCGCTCCAAGGAAAGCTCAGCCTTGCAGAGCCCGGCTTTCCTCCAGCCGCCGTGGCGCAGGCGAGCCAGCCCCTGGGCAACCACCCTCAAAGGGCAAATGAATTACAGATCTTTGAGAGCGGGAGCAATTCCCCTCGGCGGGGCCGTGGTCGCTTCCCCGCCTCTCGGGCCTGTCCGCGCGGGTGAGGAGCCTCGTTGGAAAATCCCACTCCTGTTGCTCCRTGGGGCAGGAACGGGGCAGGAGGCGGGAGCGCTGGGGGCCTCCCTGGCGCCTGGCCCTGCGGATCTCAATCGGCAGCTGGGCTGCAGCTCCAGGCCAGCCCTGCAGACGGGTTTGGGCTGGCTCRGCGGTTTGCGTGGGATTCCCTGGGCTGCAGGGAGCACCGGGGCGCAGGGGACATGTCCCYGTCCCCGGGTGGATGCGACGGGATCTTCAGAGGTGGGAATGGGAATGTGGACGCGCTCGGCATGGCAAATCTCACMGGGGCTAAGGAACGGGAGCATCATTTGAGCCATCAAGTGGTTCGGCCATCTCTTTGGAGCCGGGACCCAGTTGGCTCTCGTGGGCACCTTCCTSTTTGTTTTGCAGCCTCTAAGAGCCTGCTGGAGTTGCGGCTTTTCCTGCAGCTCCTGCTCTCTGTGTGAGCTGCCCCGTGTTGCATTCGACTGTCTCCCTGCCGGATAAGTGTGTCTGAGAGTTTGGAGCGAGCTGAGATTGCGGCCCGAGGCGGAGGTAGTGGTCACGCACAACGGCAGAGCAAGACGTCCCAGCAGAGCTCAGGAGTTCCCAGAAACTCCTGCAAGGGCGGTGGATTTTTAGCATTCCTGGAAGGCCGTTCCACATTTCTAGGATGCTATAAGTAAATCCGTGGATCCAGAAGGACAGAGGGAAAGGAGGGAGGCTGGGACAGACCTCGCTGAACTTGTTGGTGCTCGAAATTCAGCTTTGGTGGCTGCAGGCGAGAGCTGGAGACCATCCCAAGCCAGTGCAAAGAGCCTTCCCTTCATCCRCGCTCCCCCTCTCCATCCCAGCCCTGCGGATCTCCAGATCCCAGCCCTGCTTTTCCAGGAGCATCTCCTGCGTGCTCATTGGCATCAGCGCTGCCTCCCAGCCCAGACACAATGCTGGATTTGGCCCATTTGTGCCGGGCTCCCCTTGCCCTCGGGCTCGTGCCGCTCATTCCTTCCAGCCTGCAGATCACGCTGGTGCCGAGCCTGCCGTGGACATCCCTGCCCTTCACCTGCCCACGGTGTTTTGCCCTCGTTATCCTCCAGCCCGGGAGCCTTGGCGAGGCTGCCGGGAGGGAGCGATCGATCCCCGCTCGCCCAGCAGGCTCCTAACAAAGGACGGGGTTGAACCTCAGCGGCGGCTTCCCGGAGCCGCCGAGCGACGTGGGACACGTTTCCAGCCGCTTTGTGCCGTGGCTGACAAAGGAGCCGGCGGCGCGGGGCTGCCGTACGGGCACGTGGCGAGGCCAGGGATTTACATTTGTTAGATTTCCCTAGGTGGACAGACAGCGCAGGGGGACAGCGCCGCGTTAGTGACTTTTCCCCAGCCTTTTGTGTGCCAGGAAGGAGCYCAGCGCTTCTCCCACCACAGCCAGCCGCTCCTGCAGCCTGTCGGGCGCTGCGGCTCCGAGGACTCTGCCCAAGAGCAGCTTCCAGCTCCGGAGCCTGCGACACGGAGCCTTGGAGCAGCAGGAGCCAAATAAACCCACTGCCCTGCGGAATCAATCCGTGCATCAACCCAGCCTGCAGGGAGCAGGAACCAGGGACGAGGAAAGAAACACTTAGCCTCACAAGATGCTATTGAAGTGCAGACCRTGCTGATAATCAATTATTGCAGACTGATTTTATTTTTTTTCCTGTTATACAAGCAGCCACCACCCTGCCCCACCAGCCAACCGCTGTGCATCGCTTCCCGCACATGCAGCTTCTCCCTCCCAGAGCTTTTGCTACAAAGAGACCCAGATTTATTTTATTTTATTTTATTTTATTTTATTTTATTTTATTTTATTTTATTTTATTTTATTTTTATTATTTTATTTTATTTTATTTTATTTTATTATAATTTTATTTTTATTTATTTTTATTTTTTTATTATTTTATTTTTCTATTTTATTTTATTTTATTTTATTTTATTTTATTTTATTTTATTTTATTTTTATTTATTTTTTATATTTTATTTTATTTTATTATTTTATTTTACTTTATTTTACTTTATTTTACTTTATTGCAGCGTGGACACGGCCAGCGGCGGACACGGCGCTCGCGGGCGGCGCGGGGACCTCCCGCGCGCCGCGCGTGGGCCGCCCCGGGCGCGCGGCGCCTTTAAGAGGCGCCCGGGCTGTATCAAAACAAACGGGCGGCGCCGCCATTGGCCGCGGCGCGG